CGCCCACCTCGCCCGCCGCCGCGCCCGGGGCCGCCGGGGCTCCCGGGGAGCTGGGCTGGCTGTCGATGGCCAGCCGCGAGGACCTCATGAAGATGGTGCGGCCGCCCTACTCGTATTCGGCGCTCATCGCGATGGCCATCCAGAGCGCGCCCGAGCGCAAGCTCACGCTCAGCCACATCTACCAGTACGTGGCCGACAGCTTTCCCTTCTACCAGCGCAGCAAAGCCGGCTGGCAGAATTCCATCCGCCACAACCTGTCGCTCAACGACTGTTTTAAGAAGGTGCCCCGCGACGAGGACGACCCAGGTGAGGCCGGCTGAGCGAGTGCCACCGGCTAGGGAGGGCGCGGGGCGCAGACGGGGGGCTGTGAGTGGCCGGCGCGGAGATCTCGAGGGTCTCCTGCGCCCCGCTGGGGCGCAAATGGTAAACAGGCACCCCAGTCTTTTCCGAGTGAGGGGGACCAAAGGACAAAGAAGGAGCCGAGGTTCGTGGAGGGAGGAGTCGGCGGGGGGGGGGGAGCGCATCCCCTATATCCACAACCCGAGGCCGACCAGTTGGGAGGTGTGTTGTTAGGATTCGCGCTCGTCTGCGCACTCGAAGGGACCGGGTAGATTGGGAAGGTCACGGACGGACGAGCTCTCCGATGGAGGATGGTTTTGAAGGAAGTAAAGTGAGGTGAGAATCCTAGGTCTTGCCCAAAGAGCTAGCTAGCTCCAGGCGGCCGCGCACTGAGCACTTCTTCCTCCGTCGGATCTGAGTGCGGCTCACTGAGTGCTGCAGGCATTGGAACCTGCTGCACGGGGCTGGGAGAACTCTGCACTACGGTGGCGCTCAGAATGAGCTGACCCCTGAAGCCTGGGCCATTTGCATGCTAATAAAAGCTCTACCATTGAACTACCCTGTTTTCATCTCTTGTTGGGAGCCAACCTCTATGCTGAGATAGCTAGCATTCAAGACCCCACTACTAGGTGGGCACCTTTGTCCTTTTTTGTTTTAACCCCCATTTTATAAAAGAAATGGAAGCTTAAGTTTTAAACAGCACCACAATTGGTGGCTTTGTTGGGTCACACTATTTGGATCTAGAATAAAGGAACTGTGTGATTTTATTGTGTACTTCTGGAATAGAATTAAGTCTTAAGGTTGAGGTAGTAGGTGCTTTCAGTACCCTAAGAAGTCACTGTAGAGCAGAGACTTTTTTTTTTTTTTTTGGTGGAACCGGGGGTTAAATTCAGGCCCTTGCACTTGCCAAGGAAGCACTTATTCTACTGAGCCATCTCCCTGGCCCCTAGAGCAGTGACTTCTAAGCCACATGTGACTGGAGGTGTTCTAGTAGCCACATTAAAAAAAAAAAAAAAAAAAAACCGCTAGCTGTACTATGTTTAAATAACCAAAGTGGGTTTTCCTCCCTTTTTTTGGTACCAGGAATCTTAAGACCTTGGGCTTGCCAGGCAGGTGCTTGTGCCGCTGAGCCATCTCCCCTGCCTGAAAGTGTCAAAAAACAAATATAAGAATTACTGGTGAGGTTATGTTGTTTTCTTTTCTTTTTTTTTTTTTTTTGGTGGAACCAGGGATTGAACTCAGGCTCTTGGACTTGCCAAGGAAGCACTTATTCCACTGAGCCATCTTCCCGGCCCCCATATGTTGTTTTCTTGAGCCTAAGTCTTTAAAAACCTTGTGTGTTTTATGCCACATCTCAACTGGAACTAGCCACATTTCAAGTGCTGCTGGCCACCTGTTGCTAGTGGTTACCACACAGGGCACACTGCTGCAGAAGACATCTTGATTTGGCCTTTGAATTTCCCAGGGTTATTGTGTTGGTTGTCTGTAAATTCCTTTAAATGTCACATAGAAGTTCAAAGCTACGAGTGGTACCTGCAGAAACAAAATAAAAACCAAAAAGAAAAAAATGGGGGTACAAAGATGATCTAGTATACATATCCAAATATTACTCTAAATGGTAATTATATATATGTATATATTTTCCTGCAACTATTGTAGAAAATACTTGACTGGAAACAGAAATCCTGTGCTCCAGGGAGCGCCTGCTAACTCTTAAGAGGTATTGTCAAACACGGTTAAGAATGCAGACTGCTATAATCCCAGTTATTCAAAGGATAGGAGAATTGCAAATTTCCAGGCTGCCCTGGGCATTTTAGCAAGACCATGTCTCAGATAAAACTGGGTCTAGGGGCTGGGGAGATGGCTCAGTGGAATAAGCACTTCCCTGGCAAGCGCAAGGGCCTGAGTTCTATCCCCGGTTCCACAAGAAAGAAAGAAAAGAAAGAAAGAAAGAAAGAAAGAAAGAAAGAAAGAAAGAAAGAAAGAAAGAAAGAACTGGGCCAGTTTGTAGCCCAGTAAGAAGGCCCTGGCTCAATCCCTAGTACCTGGAGGGAAAAAGCTGAGTTTGGAGCCAGCCTGCCTGCTTAAATGCTGGTTTAGCCTTGGAAATGGCTGTGACACAATACTAACCAGTCTATACCCCAATTTCCCCATCTCTAAAGGGGCCAGTAGTAACACCTATCTCCATGGGTCTCTGAGCAGTAAAAGGGGTTATCTTGGTAAGAGACTCAAGGTTATTACTTAGTAAGACTTTGGAACACCAAAGATTCTTTTTGTCAGCAGTGAAGAAGAACTAATGAACCGGGTGTGGTGGTACACACCTATAATCTCATTACTCTAGAGGCTGAAGCAGGAAGATTACAAAATGAGTGGGGTTGTAGTGTAGTTTAGTACTGGTTCCATCCCTAGTATTGAAGGGGAGGGGGGAACTATTGAATAATAAAATTGACAAGTCTTTTCTACTTAACTTATTGATAGTGAGGGACATTTTCTAGGCAGAAGACAAGCATTTCATGCATTGAATGAGTGCTGCATGCTTGTCCAGTGGGCTGAAAGCTTGCGGCATTCACTGTGACATGTCCTGCTCAGGATGAGGTGTGAATGTTGGCTGTAGAGTTGCCTAATGCTCCAAATATGTGCCTCCCACAGTGGATTGATTTTGTAGCTCGGTGCCCCTTTCCCAGTGGGATATATTTTTTCAGGCACAGGAGCTATATGCTTTTAGGGAAGTACCTACTTAAACCCTGTTCTCACCCCTTGTGGTGGGCCAACCTCGATGCTGAGACAGCACTTAAGACCCCACACTACTACCTACGTACCTTTCTTTATCTCTTTTTGTTTTAATTCCCATTTTATAAAAGAAACAGAAGCTCAAAATTTTTTGCTTTGGGTTTTGGTTCTGGGGATTGAACTCTTGGAACCTTGCACTTGCCAAGCAGGCGCTTATGCTGCTGATCTATTATCTATCTCCCTGGCCCTGAAGCTCAATTTTATTTTATTTTATTTTTTATTTATTTTTTGCAGAACTGGGGATTGAACTCAGGCCCTTGTGCTTGCCCAGCAAGCACTTATTCCACTGAGCCATCTCCCCAGCCCCACTGAAGCTCAATTTTAAATAGCACCATAATTGAAGGCTTTGCCAGATCTCACCATTTGGATCTAGAATAAGGGAACACATTGCATGGTTTTATTGTGTGCCTCCAGAATAGAATTAGGTCTTAAGGTTGAAGTAGTAGACGCTTCCAGATTTCTCTTTGACACAAGGAATGTCTTCTCCAACAAGTGGCTAAACACCGCACAGACTGAGAATTTTTTTTTTTTTTGCGGAACCGGGGATTGAACTCAGGCCCTTGTTCTTGCCAGGCAAGTGCTTGTTCTACTGAGCCATCTCCCCGGCCCCCTGACTGAGAATTTTGTCAGTGTTTAATAAGTCTGCTCTCTGCTTAGGCTGAAATCGGAGTGGTCTCCGTTTTTATCTGTTTTACAACTGCAGCCCCACAATATTAAGTGGAAATTCCAGAAGCAAGCAGAGACTACGTTCACATAGAAATTACAGTATATATAATCGTTCTATTTTATTATTGTTAATCTTTCATAAAATAGATCCTCTAATGGGTCTCTCCTCCCCAGGAAAAGGCAACTATTGGACTCTGGATCCAAACTGTGAGAAAATGTTTGACAACGGAAATTTTCGTCGGAAGCGAAAGCGTCGCTCCGAAGCCAGCAGTGGCTCTTCAGCGGCAGGGGCAGGGGCAGGGGCAGGGGCAGGGGCCGCGGGGGCATCAAAATCAGAAGAAGGATTGGGGGCCCGCGAGGGTGGAAAGCCGGAAGGAAACAGCCCCTCCTCCCTGCTGCGGCTCCCGCCCTCCCCCGATCCCCCTGAGGACACCAAGAGTACTGCGTCCTCCCCGGGATCCTCCCTGCTCAGCTCCGCGCCTTGCCTCAGCACCTTCTTCAGCAGCCTCAGCAGCCTGAGTGGCGGTGGCAGCGGGGGCGCCCAGCGTGCCTTCCCCAGCAGCCGCCACCTGGGCATCCAGGGTGCCCAGCTGGCCCCCAGCAGCCCCTTCCCCTCCACCTCCGTCCCGGAGGCGGCCTCCGATGCCTTGCAGCTGAGCAGCGGCACCAGCAGCAGCCAGCGACCTTCCTATTACAGCGCTTTCCCCGCCAGCACCAGCGCAGGCCAGAGCAGCCCCTTCAGCAGCCCCTTCTACAACTTCAGCATGGTCAACAGCCTCATGTATCCCCGGGAGGGCTCGGAGGTGTAGGCGCAGGTCCTGCGGTGGAAACAAACTTCTGCGTGGTCCTGTGAAGCAGAGAACACTTAACTCCAAGGAGTTTTTCTAGGTGGATCTGTTTAGACACAGGTAGCTTGTGCATCCTGTGTGGGGCTGGACCATCTCTGTTCTGTCTGTCACTGTGTCCCAGCAGCTCCATAATAGAAGGGAGCAGAACTCCCAACTGGGAAGACCGCAGCAGCTGGCACCTGGAGCAGCAGAGAGAGGCCTGCCGAAGCCTGCCCCGAGCAGCTGGTTGTCTTCTACATGGCAGGGTGCTGATTTTTCTAGAAAAGCCGGGTAATCTGGATTTTTATATGAAATGCCACAAATTCTTGAACTATGTGCTGCTCACAGGTCCCCCTGTCTGGCATCTGGTGGGTACTGGGCATCCAGGGTGCCCAGCTGGCCCCCAGCAGCAATGACACTGCAGGCATGGCCCTGGGTTCCTTTTGAGTGCTACTGTAGATGCTGGATACATCTTCTTACCTACCCTGTCGCCCTCGTAGCCACTGTGGGAGATAGGCATGACCAGCCCAGAGGGAAGTAAACTCTGAGATGCTAGATCCCTTTTCCAAGTCACATTGACCACTGTAGAGTCAGGGAGAGGTGGTGCTGGTGACTTCTATGGTCTAGTTCCTAAAAAAACCACCTCATGGGCAGAGATCCCTGCAAGGATAGCAGCGGGTAGGAATGGAGCTAGAACTCACCTAACCAAAGATTCTAATTAAAAGGTTGTTTTTTTGTTTTGTTTTTGGGGAGGCGGCTGTATTTTTGTTTTGTTTTGTTTGTTGTTTTTGTTTTTGCCTTTGCTTTTTAAGACAGTGTATTAGGCAGTTTCTTGTCTCTGGGACAAAATACCGGATCCCTGCAACATAGAGGAGAGCTTGGTTTGGGCTCATGGCCTCAGTCCCTGGCTGGCAGGCAGGCTCCACAGCAGACAGAAAAGGCATCGTAAGAGGGCACGAGGAAAGAAGGCTGCTCATGTTAGGGTTCTTCCGAGTGCTACTGCAGATGCTGGATACGTCTACAGTAGCACTGTAGAGAGAGAAGAGCCATGCATGCAAATACACTCTTTCAAACTGGCCATCATGATGCTTGCCTAGAATCTCAGCGCTTGGGAGGCTGAGGCAGGAGGATCACCGTGAGCTCAAGGCCAGCCTGGGCTACATACTGAATGCAAGGCTAGCTTGAACTACACAGCAAGGCCTCGTCTCCAAAAACCAAAAGGAAGAAAAAGACCGGGGGAGCATTTTAGATCTGAACTATAAGAGACAAGGTCTAGCTATGTAGCCCATGTAGTTTTTGAATTCTGTGTGGCCCTCTGCTTCCAACTTGGAATCTTCTAGCCTTGGTCTCCTGAGTGCTAGGGCTGCAGGTGCGCACCACCACAGCTGGCTGAATGAAGTCACTTGAAATGGTTTTCCTGGGCAGCAAAAGCAATGCCGCTCTTTCTTATTCCTGCTGCTGCCCCCCAGGGTCTGAGGGACCATCGCCCCAGTGTATGATGGTGAACAGCATCCCATCTTTTAGCTGTGTCCTGGATATTTCAGTTTCTAACAAAGTATTATCAGAATTTTATTATTAAGCCATTTTTAAATGGTATTTTTGTAGTTTTTATAGGGACAAACCATCTGTGGTCAGATTTTTTAAAAATATATCTATAATTTTATTTATTTTTAAACTTCCTTTTACTTCTCAGAGGTATCTTCCTTCAAATCACACTTGTGGTCTCCCCAGTGCTGGCAAAGACCCGGGATGATAGAACAGCAATTTCTTCAAGAAGTATTAATTGGGCCC